AGAAAGAGATTAGGAGATAGAGAGAGAGGGATAGAGAGAGGATAGAGAGAGATAGAGGATGAGATAGAGAGAGATATAAGAAGAGATAGAGAGATATAGAGGAGCAGATAGAGAGAGAGATAGAGAGAGATAGCAGAGAGATAGAGAGAGAGAGAAGAGAGAGAGATAGAGAGGGATAGAGAGAGATAGAGAGAGGGCATAGAGAGAGATATAGAGAGAGATTAGAGAGAGAGATAGAAGAAGATAGAAGAGATGATAGAGAGAATAGAGAGAGAGATTAGAGAGAGATAGAGAGAGAAATAGAGATAGAGAGAGAGGATAGAGAGGGAGGGAGAGAGAGATAGAGAGAGATAGAGAAGAGATAAGAGAGAGATAGAGCAGATAAAGAGATATAGAGGACGAGATTAAGAGAGAGAAGAGAGATAGAGAGAGATAGAGAGTGAGAGATAGAGAGAGAGGGATAGAGAGGGATAGAGAGGGATAGAGAGAGATAGAGAGAGATAGAGAGAGATAGAAAGAGAGAGAGAGATAGAGAGAGAAAGATAGAGAGAGAGAAAGATAGAGAGAGATAGAGAGAGAGATAGAGAGAGAGGGAGAGAGTGCGTGTACGCGCGTGTCGACATGTAAATTGATGTCAGATATCTTGTTTCATCGGGGAAGGTACACCACCACCTTAGTAAATATGACATGCACTACACTTACTGAACCAATTACCATAGGAGTTGATACGCTCGTTGATATAAAATATCAACCAATCTTACCAGTCAAGCCCTGCATCGTGGGGTAAGTGTAGTTGAGGGTCTCTATACAACAGGCATGAATGTGGAAGTCTGCCTGTCGCAACATCGCCGAGAAGTCAGCTACAGGGTCCTTAGAGTGCTTGTAGGGTGAGATGTGGTCGTAAATGTCCTAAAACACGCAAAAATCATGATTTTTCCAGAATTATAATATTTTCTTCAAACCAGAGATATGTTGAGGGGAAAATGTGTAAAATAATGTGTTTGTAAAGAAGGGAGAGAACACTTTCAAGCAACGACATTTTCTAACGAAAGAAGCCCGGTAGCATAAAATAATTCAGTTCGCACATCATGAATGTGTCCGTCTACCTCACCTCGCAACATTATAAGAACTTTTTGGTTTCATCTTTGAAGATATTGTTTTCTACTGTTGTGGGGCATGTAGCTTTGCAATGTTCACATTGTTGCAAACTTTTGTATGTTCTTGGCTATCCGGAATGAGCCGCATATCGATCTTGGTGGCTGACGTTTCGGCCAACATGCGCACATCCCTCAGAGCATACTGCTGCCAGATGGCTAGCGAGGCTCAGAAGGTGATTTGATGGCGTTCACTGTAAGGCGGAGGGGCACGTCCGGTTTTTTTATTTTTATTTTATTAAAATTTATTTATAATTCTCACATAAACATCAAGGTCTTGAGCGACCACAAGCTTGTAATACAGAATCGAAGCCACGAAAAGGGGAGTAATTACAACCCCCACTCACCGGGACATCGCCATCAGCGACAGCCCCAAAAGGGAGAGAAACGCTGAGAGAGACATTCCTGGTCAAGGGCTAGAGCAGAGTTCGCAATACAAAGAAGTCTTCAGGAACCTTGAACGCACGAGATTGCGCGCCAATTACGGATGACACGAATCAACGTCGCTGTCCACCAGAAAAAACTTCCCCACTCCCCTACATCCAACGAACGCTGTCACGGACAGAATCGGCAGGCCTGCTTTCGTAAGAGCCGACATCCGGTGGTGTTCTACGTCCGTAACAAGAAAGAAACTAGTTGAATAGGCATAATGATTTACTTAGCTTTATTAATTTTCTGCAGAGTTGTCCATTCAGAATAGGTTTGCAAAAAAGTAGCAGTCAAATCTTCCAATGATAACCAATTTCCCCAGAAAGATGTTTCTTTGGAGTGGCAGCATGCGAACACATGAAGCAGTATTGCCAAAAAGAAAAGCGCTCTCATCGCTTGAAGAGTTTTGGTCCAACGAGAAACCGGCCAGACAAAAATTATCGTGTTGTGGCCTATTAAGCTCTTCTGAGTCATTCCGGTTCGAGAAGCTGATGGCGCATCCTATGCCCTTACTCCTTACTGAATTCCAATCGCGCCTTCTTGCACCACATGGAGACTTTTATGTTTTATCGACAGCGCAGGAATTGTCTATTTCAAAGTACCAGCTCACACAGGTGAGATTAATGACATTGTTTTGTAAGAAAAAATGACAGTGACTATTAATATATATACAAGTGCTAATGAATTAAAATATTATAGCTTTTGATGAAAAAACACGAGTTCAAAATGTGAGGTAAAAATATATTTAAGAGAGCGACAACATATACAAAGAAATTTTTACCTTTTTGAGTTACTTTGTATAACTTAAGAACGGTATTTTTGCTATCTCGCTACAATACCTACTGGGGAGATGGCACAGTGTATCAACTGCTGTCACGGCAATGCCTCTGGCCAGGAAGTCCTAAGTTCAAGACCGGACCGTGAGAGGATTTTCGACACTAGATAGATACCTGGGTCGAATTCTGTTGCTATCTAGAGGAGAATACTAGATGGCAGCTACTCAGATCGGTAGTTTTCATGGTTTCTCCGATCAATGTGACACAGACGAATGCCAGAGCAGTACCCTAACAAACGGACCTCGACTGGGGCAGTCCGGCCGCCCGTCCGGCCGTCTACCCGTCTGGCCACCCGTCTGGCCACCCGTCTCGCCTCCCGTCTCGCCTCCCGTCTCGCCTCCCGTCTCGCCTCCCGTCTCGCCTCCCGTCTGGCCGCCTGTCTGGCCGCCCGTCAGCCTGTCCGTCGGCCCGCCTACCGTCCGAGAGTACTTTGATATCGGAAGGAACTTTTTTCCAACCAACTTCGCCAGATAAGTAACTTTGGATCAATTTTGAGCCAGTAAAATGAGACTTTGCTGAACCGACGAAGCTGACAGCGCCAAACGAGCCCGTCCTTATTCCTGTTTAATTTTGTCCAATGGTTCTGCTCAAGCGCAGTAGATCACCACCTGCGTGTATGGGATTGCCCAAACGCTCGAGTTTCGCATTTCCTGATGAAATTAGCGTCGTAGACCTCCCCGCCCGGTCTCAGCAGGTTGTTGATGTTGCGAAGGGCCGTTCTGCCAACATCCATTGACATAATTATCAGTAACAAAATACCGTTTTTTTACATAAACTTTTAATGCACCATTGGTCATTCTTAATTCGAAAGATAGGTTCATGGACTGTTTTCTTTGCAGAATATAGAGACACGATATTATTTAGCAAGATTATACCACTAGCATTTTCATTTTGTTTGGGACAAGAATTTCTACTTTCAATTTCGTTGTTTTAAAATGATAAGGTTTTGCAATTTTGTTAAAATACGCGAAATTTGCCAAAAATTGGACTAAAGCTAATTTTAACCGTCCTTCGATTCAAGTGAGAAGAAAATTTATAGTCAAAATTTGGATTCGTTTATAAGTAATACATTGTTTTAAATAATTAAAAGAGGCATAAATTCATTCAAAATGACACGATTCTGTTATTTTATTCAAAATAAGGAAAAGTTCATCTTTAATGTTTTGGTTGTAGATAAGGGAACAAAAAACCAGCGATTGAAAGAAAATGAGATCTAACCATTATCTTAAGGGTCATGTACGCTCTACGAGAAGTTAAATAATACTATTGGCGCCAAAAAACACATTCTTTCTAGCACTGTTCAACAAAACTGATACACGCGCCATCATTTACGCTACGGGCACATTAATACAATACCTTATCTTCTTACCTACGTGTAAATTACGTACGTAAGTGGAAGAAAGCAAAAATCATGTTTTATTTTATCTAATATATCCCATGTTTTACTCCAAAACTACAAAATACTGATAATTAAGAAAAATATACATGGAATTAATGAATTAACTAAATAAGGATAAAATTTTATTTTAAAAATTTATCTTTAAAAATTTCGTAGAAGGAAGACGCCGAAAAATTTCAAACTTTTGCAATGTTTGGATATTCACAGTTAACAGTTAAAATAGGACATGCACTATTTTTATATGTATATTTCATTCCAATTTTTAGAAAAAAATAAAACAAAAATTTGAGGCTCACTTGAGAAACTTTTAAAAATGTCTCGGGGCTTTATGTAAAATACTGCGCAAATTTAAATAATGTTTTTAAAATTCGAAAAATTTTGAGCCGTGTCCGATCACCCAAGGGATATTCATTTTAGAACAAATTCTACTAATATTTTTGGTGGTAGTGTTGTTCACACGCAGACGGACGTTTGAAAAAACACTTTTTAGGGGTCAGGGTATCCCAAACCTTGAATGTTTGTTGAAATCTCGAAATGGAATTTCCGCAGACCAAACCATTTTCGGTAAATAGAGCAAAAGACATTTGATAAATGGTGATGGTCTGATTTTTGAAAATTGTAAAATTTGCGAAAGGTATGTGGTAGTTTCATTCGAAAGCGAGATGAGATGGTATGTGCTAGTTTCCATCTTCTATTGGCTTAGTATGATTTAACAGCTTTGCCGTGCAAGTTACATTAGTATTTGAAATAAGAATTACAAAGAACGTAAGATCCCATGGACAAGGAAGATAAACAATAATTGTGATGAAATATCATGGTTATAATTGTTTTGGTGTTTGTGATTCCACTTATGATTTCGATGGCAGCGGGTACGAAAATGGCGCATCTCACCGTTGGTTCGACCACCCAGTGGAGCGCCGTAGAAGGAGAAGACCTTGTGGAACCCCTGGAGTTGCTGTGCGCAGCGCCCAGCGGCGTGCCGCGCAGGTCGCGCGCGGCGATGTCCGTGCCACAGGAAGCGCAGGCGCGCGCCAGCGCGGCGTGGGCGGCGGCGGCGTGGCGCACCATCTCTCTCGCCTCACGTCGTGGCCCACCAGCACGCGCACGCTGCTGGGCAGCTGCGGCACAGGAGCTGCGCCGTCACGTCGCCGGGCCGCAGCCCACGTCCAGCACGGCCTCCTGCTGCTCGCGCGGACCAGCGCAGCCGCCCCGCCCACTCGCGCAGCACGCGCGACACGTTCATGTGCTGCAGACCGTTGCTGCGCGCGTAAAGGGCGGCCTGGTACATGCTGCGCACACAACTTGACTGTTATGTATACTCTCCTTTATACTTATATAATGATGAAACAAGACATTTGAATACACACTTCCATTAATAGTCTCCTTCCAAATTATTCCGTACATCTATACTGTGTCGAAACACCTGAGTGGTCGACCTAGTGGAGCATGTAGGTCGCTCGCTCCAGATGTATTTAAATGTGGTTGCCAAACGTGATACCAACCTACCTCTTGCGCTAGATCTAGAGATCTCAAGGAGTGAGTCATTCTGGGTCGGATGATGCGCATGCTCTTAACTTATTCATTAAAACATTTTTAATTGATAGTTGAAGTGTTGTCCGTCAGAATGACGCGCATATATATTATTCAAAATATCGCAATTATAGAACATGGACATTTAATGCAATACCGTTCTTTGTCCACTAGCGTTGCAGTATTTAAAGGGGCCTACAGTGATAAAGTTTGGGTTCCTTCGCTGTATAGAATTGCTCGTTGCAGACTTTTAGTTGCAAGTGGGAAGGTAAGGGTGGCTGGACAAGCGTCGCTGTCACCCTTTGTCGAGTTTTATAGACCTTCAGCCGGAAGCAGTGCGTAGCTAATATGGCGGGGGAGGGAGCGGTGAGAACTTCGGGGCGAATGGGCGTATAGCAATAACACACGTGAGATGTCGAGAGATTTCGATTAAATTTTTTTCGTATATAGAAACACTGCCTCCTAGAATACGTCTCCCACAATTCAAAGGATCGTTTGCAGCGACCTCTGAAGCGTCCTAATGCTAACAACTATAAAAATAATTATTAGGATATGTATAACTGCAATATAATAACAGACACTTCCCTTATACGAGTTATGAAGCCCCTCAATGTTCCCGAAAACTGGGAAACAGCTAGATCAACGAGACATTTGGTTTCAATAACATTGTAATGACACCCGAATACTTGATTCCGAAGACATTGTAAGGTTAACGGAATGTATGATTCCGATAGCATTTCAGTAAGACGTTCTAATTTAGGACAAAGTTTCACTATTATTTAGTATTATTAAAATAATATTTCCGTACAACTACTAAGAAAACCGAAAATTATGAAATTTTCTAAAATTTGTAATTTGGATACCGTTAAATGGTAGCTGGCCAGAGTATGTGGCAAGTTCGAATAGCTAGCCGAGTCCAAAGAAAATATAAAACTAAAATTGGAATGTCTGTGCCATTCTATAGCACTACTCGTTTGGCATATGCTCATTGTGATTTGCTAACCGTTTCGCTTCTAAATACGCACGGTTACAATACTTTCTCTTCTTACGTTGGTAAGAGTGAGAAAGTAATTTTGAATCAATTTTACTTTGTCGTTGCTAATACCACGGTAGAGAGAAAGCGAATAATGCTGCGCGAAAAAAGGCGACGTTCGGCAAAAAACATTTATTTTCAGGGCCCTGATAACGAAAAGTAGATAAATTCAGCTGCTAAATTTCAATATCCATATTTGACCATAAATCAAGTATTTTCAATTGTTTTCTTTGTTTATTTCGTAATTTCTCCAGATCCTTCTCGAGTTCGTGCTTTCTCCATACTCTTTTCTGTGTTGTCCACTGTTTCTATGTAATCTCAATGTAGTCTTAAAACACTTTTCAATGACCCTTGCACGCACTCCTCGAAGGCCATTTCACTTGCCAAATAACACACAAGATCACATCGGTAGCGGCGTCGCTAATGGAACATTCCGGGGACGCTACCTCCACCTCATACGCGACGTCTTGGATTATGACCTTCGGCCGACGGTATTTTTTCCAACTCATCTAGTATTAAAATTTGTGGCATGGAGTCGACATATTTTGTTCAGATGTGAATTAATTTCCTACGATCACTAGAGCCGAGGTGCAGGTTCACTATAACCGAATCTTCTGATGCTTATTTGTAATGTGTGTGAAACGGCACCAGTGACTAGGGATCACTATAACCAAGAGTTCACTGTGTATGAGTTTCCTACGAACTCGTACAAGCGGAGTCAACAGTATTAAGAAATTTTATTCATGAAACAGTCTTAATTAATCACGCGTGCAATGAAAATTCTCTGATACATTCCAATTACTAAACAGGTTCCGAAATTTCGTGGTGTTAATTACATTGTATAAATTATTAGCAAATGATCTTACCTTCCCCTGGTCTGGTAGTGGCTGCTGGACAGCAAAATCGTGTCCCAGACTAGCTAAGAGTCCGGAAAGCCGTCAGGGAGTGACACTTGAACTCGCGGTAGAAACTGCAAGGTCTCGTTGACCAGCGTGGGCCAACTCGAAGTCACGCTCAGGTTGGTTGCCGGAACGGCGACGTGTGCACTGGCAGTCTGATGTCAGTAATCTGCTGCAGTACTCTAATATATGTAGATACTATCTCTGGGTACAAGGGTTTTGTTTCTGGATAGGCATTGGCGAATCCGATATCGTCTGTATACATAATCAAGACTGTCACAACAGGAAGTCCCAACCTTTTGCCTTCATCGACCCCTTTTAAAAGAACTGTTGCTCAATCAGTCCCCGTTCATAGTTCCGCTACCGCATAGTTCATACTTCCGCTACCGCGGAAGAGAGAAAGTTATGTGCACAAAAAAGTAATGCTGCGCGAAAAAACGTGGAATTTTTGGTAGAAACCCCTTTTTAGAGGTCTCTGGTAACGAAAATGTGTGTAAATTCCGCTGCTAATTACTGGAGGAAAACCTTTAACAATCAGTGCAGCCAGAATGTATGTTTTGTGGGTCCTTGATGTCGAAAAGTCGATTGACAGCAAAATGTTCGTCTGTCGTTCTGTAAACAGTTTTCAGAAGCGTCAGAATCGCTCGTTTTCTGTATATAAATGTCACCTTTCGCGTCACCTCGTTGGACGCAATTACTAATTGCGTCCAACAAGGTGACGGGAAAGGTGACATGTATATACGCAAAAGGAGCGATAACGCACATTGCAAGTGCGTCCAACTAAATGACGCGAAAGATGACATTCATATACATACAAAGAGCGATAATTGCGGTCGTGAAAACTGTTCAAAGGATTGGTTGTCTCGGTAACTTTGTGGTTACAACAGTTAGGCGTATACCAGAAAACCCAGATTGGAATCCCAGCCGGGGAGTCCTACTCTTTGGACTAATTTATTAACTAAACTTTATATTTTCCTATCAATCCGGCTAGAATTTGAAATCGATATTTTATTCGGAGGTACTTTTCATGAAGCCCATGGAACATGGTATTTAATTACATTTTGTTGTTGGATAGTGTAAAGGACGTTTAGGAAAATGATGGTCTCATGTTGATTCGAAACTTTTTGTAAAAAATGGACCATTTTTTAATTTTAAGCATTTTTTTCAAAAACGACTCTATAGTTTTTAATGAAATTTTGTTGTTGTATAATCTAAACGACGTTTGATAAAGCGGTGCAGGTCTCATGTTGGTTAAAAACTAATTTTTCCGAAGATTAAAAATATTCAAAATTTGTACGGCGACTTCTTAGAACTAAAATTATGAAAATCCACTTTTTTCATAATGAAATATGTTTATCAAAAACAGTTTTTCAAAAGAGGTCATGTTCAATTTTTCGCGAAATTTTGTCTCAAACACAGGCAATAATTATTTCTTTAAACAATTTGTTCTTAAAAACCGCACCTTTTTTATTAAATTGGGATCTTAGATAGCATAAAGGACGCTTAAAAGAATGGTGCAGGTCTCGTTTTCGTTAAAATGCCTGATTATGTAAATATTTAAAAAAATTAAATATTTTTGGCGACTTGCTACTAGTTGAATTGTGAAGATACAATTTTTAGTTTCTCGCACTTACCAGCGTAAGAAGAGAATGTATTGTATTCACCGGAAAACTGCGAATTTTCGACACAAAAACTCTTATTGTGAGCATCACACTACCCGTATTCACGGATACGCAGTGAATCGCCGAGACCGCGAGGTCGAACGGGGGGGGGGGGAGGCGATGTTGCCTCCGGGTCCGAACGCGAATCCCCCAGCTCGAAGTGAAGAACCCACCTGGCGGCCTTGCTTTTCTCTTAGAGTCAGTCGTGGTGCGAGTTTGGACGGTTGGCGGCAGACGGCTCAGCAACTAGACAACTGTCTGTAAGATAATAATAATAATTAATAATAATAATAATAATAATAATAATAATAATAATAATTAATAATAATAATAATATAAATAATAATAGTAAATAATAATAATAATGCCCCTATTAATGGCGAGGCTCAGGCCATAAGGCGTGCTCTTCCGCATAACCACTGAATTTACATACATATAGAGTAATAATATTTTAAAAGGGGAGGACAAGCAGTGCATTTACGTCTGGGAGACCAAATCTAGGGGCCATCCCGACATACGCCTTAAGCCATTGAGTAAATCCAGAAAATCTCATTCAGGATGGCGGCTTAGAGCCGAACATCATCAATTCACGGAAAAAAGTGGAAAAAAAGGAAAAATAAGAGGAAACATAAATGAAAATGAAGAGGAAAAACAGGAAGAGAAACAAGTGAGACCGAGACGAGGGACAACCTGTACATTTACGTCTGGGAGTGCAAGACAAGGATCCATACCGGCCTTAAGCGATTGAGTAAACCCAAAAAAAACTCAATCAGGATGGCGGCTTAGGGCCGAACATAAATAGTACTGAGATGTTTGTACATAATAGTGAAAGGGACGTTTAGTGAAAGAGAAAAGAAAAGACGTACAGGGGAAGGCGTCATAAAGTAAAAATGATAAAATTTGTGAGGGAGAGGGAAGAGAAAAGAAGCGAAGAAAAGGATGAAGAAGAAGTAGGTTAACAAAGTGAAGTTATTTGAGGAACGTTACAGAAAGCTACGTTAGGTTTACAGTAGCACTTAACATAAATATAAAATAATTTTAACACCAGAGAAACACAATACACTATAAGCAAGTAACAACAGTAATTTTAAACACATTACTGGCAGTATTAAGGAACAATACAAAGAATGCTGGTATCTTAACATCAATTTGTTTAGGCCAATATATTGTAATATCAAGACGATGGTACAAAGATAGCTACAAGTATATTTTATCTGGAACGTCACTAATAATTTTGAATATTTTATTACCAATTTCATTAGGGTACACAGAAAAATAATAATGCTAATAATTTAGGTGTGAGAAGGAATGGAAGATGAGGATAGAGCAATGAGGTATGGGGTAGAATATTGAAAATAGAGAGGGGGAAAGTACGGTGTTTAACGGGAGCGGTGACCGGGCGCTTGGAAGTGGAAGTCTGGAGATTGAAGAAGACATTAACGC